ACGCCCTTCGGGCCGCCGCCCGCGCCGCCCGGCCGCTCGATGGGGTTGCGGATGGGGTTCAGCGGGGCCCACTGGTTGTTGGCGCTCTCCTCCCGTGGCAGCCGGCTCCTCTCCCGCTCTTTCCTGCGCTTGCGGGTCCACCACACGCAGATGGCCACACACGCCAGGCACAGCACGCTGAACACGCCGCACAGCACGGACACCAGCAGACCTGGGGCAGGGGTGCCATGAGGGGAGGCCCCGGCCCTGGGATGCCCAGCCCTCTGGCTCCTGGTTGTGGGGAGGGTCCCCGGATCGGGGCTGGGGACCCACGACTGGCAGGCACAGAGGGGTTTCAGGGTTTCATGGGTGGGATGGCCACCTGGCAGGGCTCGTGGACTTCAAGCCGATGTGTGGCCTAGTCCCACTCCTCTGAGCACCAGGCATCTGAAAGATTCCCACTGGCCCAGGAAGCCAAGGTGCAGCCCCCACCGGCCTGCTGACCTGTGGAGGAGCTGCCCATGACGACCGTCTCCACCTTGACCTCGGTGACGGCCAGCAGCAGCGAGCTGTTCCCCCGCCGGGTGATGGCCGTCACGATGGCGTGAGCCGCACTCTGGATCAGGCTGCTGTCAGGCAGGTCCTGCGCCGGGCTGAAGGACTGCACAGAAGACAGAGCTGAGAAGCCACCCGCTCATGGCCGGGGCCTGTGACCCTACCCCCACCAGCGGGAGCCTGACAGCAGGCCTGGCCCTGAGCACAGTTCCAGGGTACGCCCAGGCACCCACCCAGGCCAGCAGCCCCCACTCAGCTACAAAGAGGGACACAGGCAGCTGAGCATGAGCAGGGCAGCGCTGGAGCAGGGCCCAGGGCTCGGGACCCTGGGGGTCCCCAGGGCTTCTCGGGGGAAGGCTCCCTGAAGAAAAGTCCTGCAGTGGAGACGCAGTTCACGGGGAGGTGGCTGTGGCCGGGCCCACACTTTCCACAGACACCCCCTTCACCCGGGCAGGGACGACTGTCCCTTCCAGGTAGGCTGCTGTGCCGAGCGTTCACATCTGAAGTCCTGAGGGCCCTGCAAACCCAGCACTGCTCCCAGCGCTGGGGCCCCCCCAGACTCGGCCTCCGCCTTGCGGCCCCTTCCGCCCCAACGCCGGCACCCAGCCAGCACCCTGAGAAACTGCCCTGCCCTTTCCCCTCCTCTCTCCCTGCACAGCCCAGAGCCACAGCCTCCCCGAGCCCCGCGATCCCTTGTTTACATCTGATATCCACCTGGGGCCCAGAGTAGGGCCCACTCAGCCGAGGGCCCAGGCAGGTGCCCGGGGCCCGGACCATACATCCCAGGGCGGCCTGAGCCCATGGAAACCCTTCCTGCATGGACACCAGGAGCAAGACACAGGCAGCTGGGGGTCCAGGTGTGGATAAGCCTGCAGGGGAAGGAGACTTCGCACCTACTAACCTGCCCACGCCATCTGCATAGGCATTCAGACCACAACTTGGCCCGTGGATTCAGCTTGCCCCACGGCCTTCCTTACTCCCCCAGCCCTGCCCTCGAGGGGTCCTCTGATTGTACCCCGCCACTGTCCGCCCTGGGCCCTGGCCACTCTCCTCCCCACTCTTGGTGCTGCCTCTGCACCCCAACTCCTACGGTCACTAGGGCCCCACACAGCTCCAGGAGCCCCTGCCCAGAGTCCCAGCTGCACGCACCAGACCCACCCCCCTTCTCCTCCCACCTTGCCATGTCAGCACCTGCTCTCCTCCAGGTCTGACACAGCTCCACGGGCCCCCAGCAAGGGCATGGGAATTGCCACAACCCTACCCTTCACAACTGTACCAGAGTGGGCTCCTGGTCTGTGGTCGTCCCACGTCCCCATATACCTGGGGACCAGCCTGGCCAGGCTCTCCGCCCCAGCACCTCTTAGGAGCATGTACAGAGTGGGGACCCAGGAGAGGATGATCTGAACAAAGGTGGCCACCCCATCTGCCAGTACTTACCACGGCCACCTCCACTGCACTGGCCCCCGAGGATGGCCGGTCACAAAGCAGCACCAGCAGGCGGTCCCGGGCCACTGCCCTTGTGGCTGGTAGAGCACGGATGCCCGAGCAGATGGCGCCCACGGTGGTGCCCTGGGCAGAGACAGGCTGCACGTGAGTGGCCCAGGGGCTGAGGGGCTGAGAGCATTCAGGGCCTGGGGGCGAGTGGCTTCCCACAGCAGTCCTGTGTCCTCCCACCAAGGACGCAGACCGCCCGTCAGGGCTGGGTGGGGCCCGGGGGCCAGGCCCCCACACATGGGAGCAGCTGCACCCGGGGACTGAGGGCGCAGGGGGGCCTCACCCAGGTCAGAGGCCCTCCCTCCTAGGTTCCAAGTACTCAGGCCACAGGGCCCAGAGGACAGCCCACAGTCACCTTCAGCCCAGGGCCCTGGGACGACTGGCCCGGGCCTGCCACTCCCGGCTGCCCCTGGGCTCAACGTTC